TATATTCATTTAACATACAGTATGTATGTATATTTATTATAACATTGTTCTGTGTGTCAAAATGAAAGACAGCCCACACACCTATCAATCATCAAACCTGGGTCTTATTTCATTACGTGTTGATTTCTATCGAACGGGGGAGTACTTCAGGAGAGTCGGACGGGGGGTGGGCTTCGTGACCACAGAGTGTAGAACGTTGTGATCAGCTTGTTTTAGCGCAGTTCTCCAGTGAAGGGGGGGGAGTCTCCTTCCGCAGCCGGTTGGCGTAGTTTGGCACAATTCCGTTGTACAGACCGACATTAACAGCAGCCTTGTCTGTGCACACGGAGACCGGCTCTGTCGTCCGGCGATCTAACCGCCTTCTGGAAAAGCTTCACAAGTACGTCGGTACGCAAATGCGCTTTGTGACACAAGTGACGGTACGCATTTCAGATTACGCACATAACCTGCGTACCAGTTATGTGCACCCCTGTTACAGCAAAAGTATTCTCCGTCGGGACTTCCTGCAACAACACCACGCCGTTATCTTGATTCTGATTGGCCAGAAGACATTATCAAAGATGTTCTATTGAGAAGACGATCACTACGTGACAAAAGTTTTCAAAACCGTTTCTGGTCTTCGGTATTTCCAGACAAATGGTAACTGAAATCAATCTTACTAACTGCTGTCTGTGCAATTTACTCCGCGAGTTGGCAGACTTTATTTTGCTTACTTTAACATCATTTTTCATGGTGGGGCTAAGCCATTTCTTGGTATGGGTGTAGCCTACCCCAGCCATACCCTGGCGCTGCCACTGGTGGGATGTATGGGGCGTGCATTCTATTAATTCAAAAAATTAATTACCGCCGTTAACGCGATAATTTTGACAGCATTACTAAAAACACAACAGAAACCAGGGAAACCTAAATGTGTTGTGTTAAATTGTTGATGTTGGCGATCTCTGTTTTTGGAAGCGTTCCTGAAATGTAAATTATATTGGCTTATTTCAACATTGTGATCACATGATTCCTCACATGCATGCACAGGGCTATTGGAAAAAGCGTTGAGGAATAGAGAATGACTGAATGTACTACTACTCATTTAATCTAAATCATGAAACCGAAACACAGTAAAGTTCACAGCTGAGTTGTCCTTGAACCTGACCTTTGACCTCTCTGTGGTCAAGAGCAAGACATTTCCTAGCTGTGAAGTGTCAAGTGGTGAAGTTGACGTATTTTTGTACGCCGACCCAGTGATAACATCGCCCTGGCTCCCTCGACAATACTATTGAATTAATATCCAATTGATTTTAGAATCGATTAATCTGTTTCAGTAATTCTTCTTAAGAATAACAGGAACAAGTCTATGATTTTAGTTTCTTAACTGTAAATATGTTCTGGTTGCTTCAGCTTTATGACTGGCCTCTATAGGGCTTTTTATTGACCAAATAACCAAGAAAATATTCAACAGATTTATCCAAAATGATAATCAGTTGCAGCTGAAATTAACAACACTTTTTTACATTTTAAAGCTCAAAATCTGGACGTCAAATGCTTTGTTAGGAAATAAACAAACAACACCGCTGTCACATGACTTCTACGTTCCTCCAGCTTCCTACTTTTGCAATTAGTTTTTCCAGCGCTTACCTTTTCCCGACATGTTGACGTTTAATAAAACAGTCTAATTTAGCACTTATTAGCAACCATAAATGCTATATATTCAGTGGGATGTTTACATGAACGTTTCCGAGGCTTGTGTTGACCACAGACCTTTATTCAGGAATTTAAAACATTGGTTTCGAGACGAGGCCAAAGAATGCTATCTCATTTCCCGGGTTTTTCGGATTCCTGCAGCACTATCTTGCTCCTTTTTAATAAAATTCATGTTCCAGTTACCGTGTGTGTGTGTGTGTGTGTGTGTGTGTGTGTGTGTGTGTGTGTGTGTGTGTGTGTGTGTGTGTGTGTGTGTGTGTGTGTGTGTGTGGCTGTGGCTGTGTTAGTGCGCTGATCTTCGAATCAGAGGCACGTTCGAGTCCCACTGCAGTCAGCATGTCGTTGTGTCCCTGAGACACTTCAC